GAAAAAGTCAATACAGTCACGGATTCCAAAATATTTCAAAGATAAACATTACCCATAACATTGCGAACTCAAATATATAATTTATTCACAATCCCATGTACAATTTCGTGGCCTAATTCCAAAAATACTAATTTCTAGGTTTTCTCTTAAAATCCCATAATCTCCACAATTTTCCATGAATTTACAAGCCTAAATTCGTATATTTAACTCACAACTTGCATAAATCACCTACCTTATGATTGACGATGAAAATATTGCACCCAAATTTGCTCCAAGATCGACTCACATGGATGAAATGAAATGAAAATGGCTCTCACGACCCAAAATCTACTAGTCGTGATGGCACCTAACCCAACCCGCTAGGTAAGCCAACTGTACTATCCAATTCCCATAATATTTAATAAGGCAGTTTAAACAAGAGAATTATCTAAATCTTATAAACTTTTTGAAGGACTGGTAGTACAAATCATGAGCTTCTAAGAATAGAATTTACATATCTAATATAAAGTATATACATCTTCTATTTGAAAAGTAGATAAACAGAGTTTTATAAATCTACATCTACCATGAACAAGAGGCAGCTACAACCGGAATATAGGTACATCTTTAAATCCAGCAACCTTCGAATACAGCAACAACAACAGACAACATCTGCATGCAATGTGCAGAAGTATATTATCTGTACAACTGACCCCATGTATAGGTAAGTAACAAACCTAACCTTAGGTTGAAAGTAGTGACGAGCTGAAACATAGGTCGGGTCCAACACCAATAACCAATAGCAATTCATAACAACATAAAACATATAAATGAGGAAGTAACTCGGAGATAAAATGCTTAGATTTTTCATAGTTTTTTTTAAAAATAGTTCTGCTGTTCAAGAATATCAGTGAAACTTAAATCCTTCACCGAAATCGTTGTAATATATGAGATAGTTTAAAAACTATAATTTTTTCTAAAATCTTTTTCACAATAAATAAGATGTTTCATTTTCTTTCCAGATAACAAGTGTGAAATACCTCTCTATGCCACATATCAATATGTGTAAAAGTGATGAATGACGTGATACCATACAACATGATGGAAAATACATCTCTATGCCTATATGTCATGTGTGCATGCCAATGCCATGTATCTCAGGGATAAATCATGCACTCACACTCTCAGAATACTCAATCTCACTGTCTCACACTTTTCACTCATCATGCTCAACCACTCGGTATTGTTTATAGCCATTTGTCCCAGGGAAGATCCATCCCAAAATATATACATCACTGACCATCAGTCACTCAGTATCGAGGAAGTTCCAATCCGACCCCATGGACAAGATCCATATCCAGGTATATAAATATTGCCGACAAGATCCATGTCCAGGGAAGATCCATCCCACAATATAATCAATCGCGCTCACTGGGTGTGTGTACAGACTCCGGGGGGGGCTCCTTTAGCCCAAGCGCTATCACAAGCTAGATCTAGGCATAAATCAATATAACATATTGCGGCGTGCACCCCGATCCCATAACTGTCACTCATAATCAGGCTCTCGGCCTCACTCAATCATCAATCTCTCTAGACCCACCCACAGGCTCACAATGTCATGAAGACTAACCCGGAACAATGATATGTGCCAATGAATAATAACTGAGACTAAGATATGATATAAATGCATGAATATGACTGAGTACGAAATATCAATGAAAACTAGTGGGATGACAACAATAAATGACCACTATAGGTCTCAACAGTATCGGCATAAAGCCTAAACATAATATCTAGCATGATTAACAACTTAATTACTTTATCACATGGTGAAAATACATATATCACCAAGATAGGGCCACTATACAGTGCCATGGAAAATAACATATTCATAATTCACAGGGTGCACGCCTACACCCCCGTCATCTAGCATGTGCGTCACCTCAACATCAATCACATAACACGTAATTCAGGGTTTCATACCCTCAGCACTAAGTTTGGAAGAGTTTCTTACCTCAAACAAGTCAATTCCAATACCGAGCGTTTCGACTTCTAAACGGCTCAAAACTAACCAAAAACAACTCAAATACATCAAATAATACTAAAAGAATCAATCCCAATTGAAAAAGGTCGAATCTTTAATAAAAAGCCCAAAATCGACCAAAAATCCCAAACCTAGGCTCATACCTCAGAACCCGAAAAAACTCACAAAATCCGGTAACTCGTTCAATTATGAGTTCAACCATATCAATTTTACTTAAATACAACTCTGAATTGATGTTCTAAACTTAAAAATTCACATTATGAAACTTTAGGCAAAACCCCCCAAATTTCACTTTTAAATTATCAATCAAATCCCAAAAAACAAAGATAGATTCATGCAATATAACCAAACCGAGTAGAGAAAACTTACCTCAATCTATATGGTGAAAATCTCCTCCTTAATTTATATATATATTTTGCCAGTTATTCTGCCTCGTTTCTTATGCCAAACAATCCCAAAACTCACTTTTATGTGCCCAATGGATTCCTTGTGAAATTTTAGTCAAGTTAGGCTTTTAAATCACTCCATTAGACCATATAATGAAGGAGATATGTTGGTTTCAGTATTTGCAAATAGTGCAGATTTCTAAATACGAATTCAGTGGCAATTCCGTAATTAATCTGAAAAATCTGGCAATTCTTAGTAAAATAACCATAAATTCATCATACGATGTCCAAATTCGACGATTCTTTTTTATATGACTCCGTAATTACGATACGGATCTAATGCTTAAATCAAAATAGAAATCAGAGATCATTTGCTTAATATAGTACTATTTATGCTTGAAGAAACGACGTCAAAATATAAGAAAAACGAGCGCAATGCAGCTCAAAACTATCTGAAACTCACCCGAGCCCCTCGGGACCCCGTACAAACATACCAAAAAGTTCCATAACATAACACAGACCAATTCGAGGCCTCAAATGATGCATAACAACATTGAAACGACGAAACACGCCTCAAATCAAACTTAATGAACTTTCGAACTTTCGACTTCCAAAATCTCGCGCCGAAATATATCAAATCAACTCGGAATGAATTCAAATTTTGCACACAAGTCCTAATACATCATACAGAGCTACTTGTGCCCTCAAATTACCGAGCGAAATGCAAATGCCCAAAATCACCGGTCGGGTCGTTACATTCTCCCCCACTTAAATTTACGTTCGTCCTCGAAGGTGCCAAGAGTTGTTTCTAAGCCGTCAAACCACCGTTTAACATTACCATGCACATAACCGAGGGTGATCCCATCACCCTATTCCATATAGGCCCGACAACACAACATTATTGAAGATCATTACTTAAACCTTAGTCCGTAAGCCACATAATCCAATTTTCAACATCCGAAATTTACTAGAAGACCCGAACTTTGCATATATACACTGTATAAGCCTAAACAAGCTATATCAAGTCATAACCACAGGCCAAGATGTAATCACCCAACATACCACACGACTCGCATACTCATTGTAAATTTCTAATCGCAGTAGCTGCTCAAAACAACCCAATACCAGTAATAAACCTCATGTCAAACTCATAACCATTCATCAGATCAACCATTTGTGGAACTCCCTGTCATTCGATAGGAACTATAACAAATTTCTAAGTCGATCAGCAACAATATCCTTCCAAATATACCGCAATCAGATCTGATAGCACCCATTCGAGGTCCGATGACCTCATCTTATCTAACATAATTACTATTGTGACATGCCACATCCATACAATATAAATCCATAACCCGTGCAATATGTGCACCAGTAAGCAACAATCCCAATGTACTCAAATCATAGAAAATGACTCAAACGAGAGGATTGTCCCGCAAGCTTAACAAGTACTGCCACAACGAAATACCGAAAATCTATCACACACAATAGGACCATAACATGAATCTAACACAAAGGTTCATACCTTAACATAACCGCGCTGCAATGCGTGACCCCATAGAAATACTGGTCTATGGCATATACCTCAAGCCACCTTGCTCAAAATCAACAACCACGCAAAATTCGACATCAAGTACCCAAAGTGAATTACCATAACCATGGAGAAGCAAATGATACAATGCCACACAAAATCCGAAAGAGCATAACCAATACGCAATCAATTATGCAATACCCAAATACCCATGTCACTTAAACTTCGCTATAAGGCCCCAATAGAACTGCACCATGTGTGGATATAACCAATGAATAACAACTCCTCGTAGCATAGAAGCAAAACTCACATATCATATCAGAACACGAATGAGCTAAATAACAATCAAATGGCACATCCCTCAACCAAAGAATTATGGAGTCAACCAATCCGACCCAGTGTAGAATGCACATCCTAATTGTGCCTACCAATGGACCCCAAATCAACTCTGTTTATCCACAAATCGATAAATAACCCTCTGAAGGTCCATAATGGCCTAACCATAACGTATACCATCCTCTGACTAGGTTTGACCACATTTTCATAGTCCACAACCACAAAATAATTTGCTACCGAGAACTCCCAGACTCCAAATCCATAGAACACATGAATCACCATATCTAATCCCCAACTCCACCGCCTGAATGTCTAACACATATCAAATACACGATCATCACATGAGGAATACTTCTAAAATTCTTCTGTGCCACAAAGCAAAATTTGAATATCAATAGTCGATCAACTAGAAGAGTACCACAATACCAATGAAGTATCCATAAATCAAAATGTCACGCCCCAAACCTGGGGAGGCGTGGCTGGCACTCGGTGTCGTAATGGCCCGAGCGAACCACTCTGTAACTATTCTTTTTTCTTTGTAATTATCATGAGCCAATATGGCCACAACTCGTAATGTAAAATTCTAAGTGGGCAAATGTTATATCAATGAATCATCGTTCATAAAACATGAATACATATAGGTCGTCAAGGCCTCTAACATACTGTACATAGTAAACCTGTGTCTACAAAGCCTATAAGATTATTTGACATAAAATGGGACAGGGTACCGGCCTACCCATAAGTCTGTAGTAAAACTCTGACATGTGACTCATAGACTCGGCTGCACTCCGAATGAGATGAAGTCTTACCTATCCTTCGTTGAATGCCAATCTCGTCTACGATGAAGGCTCGTCAAACTGATTATCTATACCTACAGGCATGAATGCAGTTTTCCCAAAAAAGGACGTAAATATGAATAATGTACTGAGTATGTAAGTCATGTAAATAAGTATATAAAGAATATGGAAGAAAATGTGGAGTAAATAACTCAGCCTGTAAATCTAGATGGCTCTGTAAATCATGAAATATTTATAAGGTCATGCATATGCATATAAATGTCATGTAATGCATAGGTCCGTACGTACATAACATCATCAGGCTTCCGAGGGCATCCCATCATATCATTTCAGCCACTGTGGGCAACATCAACATCATATACCAGCTGATCAGGTGGTGGTGCGTATATAACACCGTAACGTTTTCCCATATCCCATATACATATATTTACATATATAGATGTATATAACACCCATCTAGTGCCATTGTGGGTAAAATCATCAACGTATACCAGCTGATCAAGTGGTGTTACGTATATAATGCCATAACCTTTTTCCCATATCCCATATATATATATATATATATATATATATATATATATATATATATATATATATATATATATATATATATGTACATATATGCGCGTATATAACGCCATCTGGTGCTACTGTGAGCAAAATCATCAATGTATACGAGTTGATCAAGTGGTGGTGCGTATATAACGTCGTAACTTTTTCCCATATTCCATATACATATATATGCGTATATAACACCGTCTGAGTCATGGGTAAATGCACATGTAAACGAGTGCAATGCATGAGAAGTACATTAATAAAACTTCTCGAAATGTCATAAGACCATTATACCTCAAACTAATATCGTGAAATAAAATTTTTTCAACTTACATATATTTCTGATATCCATGAACAGACAATAGAATAATAAGACTTAAAGGAATTCAAAAACATAGGCATCTCAAATACTTCTATGAATATAATCATTCATGGAAATTGTGCATTTGCTCGTTTCGCTTTTATCGTATGGATCATGCCAAAAAGAAAGAAGGGATAGCCTTAACATACCTTTCTCGTTTACCTAACCACGCTGTGTATACGAATTTGGAAAATAGTTTGAATTCCCAAATTTTCATTTTCAAGTTCAGCTTCTTTGACTTGTAAAGTGCTACACATTTAGTGCCAAAGTTTGATTTACCACATGCAGCTATAGAGATGGATTGTGATGTTCATTTCTATCTTGGTGGACCCCAAACATTCTGTAACCTGAAGCATCATAACAAAAAGGAATGCAATATGTAACAAAAATAGAATAATTTGGGTAGTTTTTCACAGTAAGGTTCAAAATTCCGTTTTTTTTCCAACTCTTAGACCAATCTCTTCTCCTCACCTTAAAATATGCCAAGAATTGAAGCATCAGATTAATAAAAAAAAAGTGCAACAAGTCTGTATCCAATCTCTTTACTTCCCATTAAAACATGCCAAAAGTTGAAGCAAACAGGGGGAAAAAATGCAATCTTTTAATACAGTTAACAAATGAAGAATAGGTCTGCTTCCAAAAATATATAATTACAAGAAGAAAATCTCAATTGCGAAGAGAGAAGTCGAAAAGTTCAAGGAGAAATTAATAAGAATCACAATGAATACAAGCAAGGTCAGACCATACAATTATTTTATTAAGGAAAAGTGATGAAGTAAAGGAGAGAAAAAATAAGTTAAACCTGCCAAGAACGGAAGCTAAAATTTTGATATCGAATGAGAGCACACCCCAAAATAAGTAAAATAGTCATAAATCTATATGTTTGAATGGGTGTGTTTCACGTTATTGCCACCTTTCAATTTTATCAATGAGTCACTTTGTTTGATTTGTATTGCTGCCACGTGATTGTCTTTCCCAATTATTTTAGATAATTATCAATTTGCCTGTATAATTAAAAATTATTTCAACTTACTTAAAATACTATTTATTTTTAATACACTTTATATAATTTATTATCATGATCATGTGGTACAATAAAGAAATTAATATATACACTATATTTCATTAAAATATTTATTTAAAAATACATATATTTTCTCAACTTCTAATTTTCCTAATCTCATATAAAGATTAAAAAAAATTCGTATGCTTAATTCTTAAAATAGTAAAAAGATTACCTTCTTTTTTTGTGCAAAAATAATTTCTATTTTTACAATAAAGAAAATCAGATAAACTTTCTTATATTATGAGTATAACTTACCATATCCGAAAATAGTAATATTGGTAACTATTCAAACTTATACTTATAAAATCATTATTAAAATACTCCGCTTAAAAGAAAATACCACACTAACGTAATATCTAACAGTATCAAGGTTGTTAAACTTACGAGGTCTTATAATAACATAGTCACAAATCCTCTATAAACTCATGAATGTTCTTAATCCCTTCAAGCTCATATGGATTACTACGAATCATCTTAATATTAAAGTATGGGATGTAACACGAAACACATTGCCCCTTCTGAATTATATACTCTTATCAAGGCATACCAAATAGTAATGTCATTTAACTAGTCATCTGAAATCATCCATGCTGCTTAAGAAATTATGTCCTTCCCTTCGAAACCGAATCGTGCCTTGCACTTGCCAATTTCAATCCCACACAACACACTGCATATACCATGCCATTATATAAAAATATGAGAACTTCATAATGCACTCCAAGTCACGAGTAACTACATACTCAATTATCCAAGTACCTTCCATTTGATCTCATCCAGGAGAAAATCACAATATGAAACTTGTCCCACACACCAGTAGGAAATGTACATCTCAAATCGTGGTAGAAACCATCAAGAACTCTCTGAAACCCATTTGCATTTAACCAAACCGCCTGGGACTAAATCCCTCTAACTCAACCAAGTTACGCAAGCCATCAAAACCCAAGGGTATCGCCACAAAACACCTATAGAAACTCACTACATCATAAGAACTAAAAGAGCCAATCACATCCGTTACCATACTGATCCAACATGTTACTAAGATGTCCTAATACTTCGAGTCCCATCTGAACTGCCTTCAAAATGATACTTTTCCTTGCTAGACCACTACTATCCTTACCCAAAACTTGCCCCATGAACTAGCATAGGACCACACCGTCTTAAGACTCATAAGCCGCTGAATTCCCTCTAAAGCACCCCAAAAGTATCAAAATCGAGATACCTACTTCGAAGAGACCTTCTGCCGATCTAAAGTTATTCCTCTTACATTCCTGATACTGAAATGTAGAACTCATAAGGATATAGAAATTCCGGAAGTCTCGACATCATCCAATGTAAATCTCAGTTTCTAGCCATATGTAAATCCTGAAGATTGCCAATTTCTACATATAATTCTTGAACCAATTAGAACTATTTTCGAGAGACATCCACTCTGCTCAAATCTAAATTAGACTGATCAAACGGACCGAACGACCTGTACCCCATTAACACACCAACACCCAAGGAAGTAACCCCACCTTAATGCAACCAAATAAATTCCTGCTCCATGCTCATTACATCATTCACCTATAACAACTCAAAGCATTCCGTGATTTCTATATACCCATAGATTGTAATACAACCCGTATCCAGAAATCCCCTTACTCAAGTCATCCTCAATCTCACCCTCTGCAGAACATAACTCATTCACAAGTATACCTCAAACTGAAACTAATACAACACATAACCATATAATCAACTTATCAATATCGAACTCCCCCACTTGGCTCAAAGCCATAGATCAAAACACACCATAACCCACAATGCTCATACTTTATTACAGCCATAATACCACAATGAGATTCAACTAAATCCTCCATAAGCTCGTATAACACAAACCATCTAGCATCTCAAATCATCTACAAATCTCCCATTCGCCCTTGTAATAGTCAAGCCAACTCTCATAAGCGCTGCAAACTCAAAATTGCAGCACATATAATTCACTGGTAAAAGAGAACTTGCTACAAAAAAACATAGGGATCACGCAATCTCAGGACACCCGGCAAGAGATAACTCACCTGCTTAGCCTCAAACTGACATCTTTCCATACCCTTCCACAGTCATAATTACTATGAAATTACTTAATTTTCCTAATTCTAAATTCATCAACAAGACAGGAGAATCTAACTCATTCCAAAATCAAACAACATGAAAGATTCCCCAATGTGCTCATAACTCGATTCTATACGTCACATCAAGGTAGAAATCAGGCACCCAATAGTCCTTCCTACATTGCAAGCAAACTCTTCTTGTCAAATCCAACACAGATAAAAACATCTTGCAGTCATATCATACTCATCACGTAGTCATGCAACCACAAATTCCACTAATAGAGACATTATCAGACATATAAATCCAAAAGTACGTACTCACACAATCAGCACCTCTGTTCTCAAGCTACAGCCAAAACCCGACCACAAGTCCTCCAGACTAGCCCATCATCAACACACAAAAATCACATCTCGCACCTCATTCATGGAATCACAAGCCGCTGATGCACAACTGATACCGAGCGCTCATGTGTGCATACGAATGCGTGGAAGGAATTCAAAGGATTATGCTTCAAGCTGAATCAATGCTACACAATAAGGAATGAAAGATGGGAAGTATATCCTAAATGCCATGTAGCCTCTCAAAGATAGGTATGGACGTCATCATACCGATCCGCAAGACTCTACTAGACACTTTCTCATGACTTGTAGAACCTATGAACCTAGAGCTATGATACCAAACTCTCATGACCCAAAATCCACTAGTCATGATGGCACCTAAACCAACCTGCTAAATAAGCCAACTATACTATCCAATTCCCATAATATTAGATAAGACAGCTTAAACAAGAGAATTATCTAAATCTTATAAACTTTTCCAAGGACTGGTAGTACAAATCATATGCTTCTAAGAATAGAATTTACAAAGTTGATATAAAGTAAATACATCTTCAGTTTGAAAAGTACATAAATAGAGTTTTATAAATTTACAGCTACCATGAACAAGAGGCATCTACAACTAGAATGCAGGAACATCATCAAATCTAGCAACCATCGAACACAACAACAACAACAGACAACATCTGCACGCAATGTATAGAAGTGTAGTATCAGTACAACCGACCCCGTGTACTAGTAAGTAACAATCCTAACTTATGTTAAAAGTCGTGACAAGCTAGAACATAGGTCGGGTCCAACACCAATAACCAACAACAATTCATAACAACATAGAGCATATAAATGAGGAAGTAACTCAAAGATAAAATGCTCAACTTTTTCACAGTTTTCCGAAAATAGTTCCAATTTTCAAGAATATCAGTGAAACTCAAATCCTTTATCGAAATCGTCGTAATATATGAAATAGTTTGAAAACTGTAATTTTTCTAAAAATTCTTTTCACAATAAATAAGATATTTCATTTTCTTTCCATATAACAAGTGTGAAATACCTCTCTATGCCATGTATCAATGTGTGTAAAACTCATGAATGACATGATACCGTACAACATGAGGAAAAATGCATCTCTATGCTTGTATGTCATGCGTGCATACCAATGCCATGTATCTTAAAGATGAATCATGTACTCACATTCTTATAGTACTCAATCTCACTGTCTCACACTTTCCATTCATCATGCTTAACCACTCGCTATTGTATATGGCCCATTTGGACAAGGAAAGATTCATCTCGGAATATATACATCACTGATCATCAGTCATTTACTACCAAGAAAGGCCAATCCGGCCCCATGGAGAAGATCCATCTCCAGGTATATGAATGCCTCAGACAAGATCCATGTCCAAAGAAGATCCATCCCTCAATATAATCAATCGCGCTCACTGGGGGTGTGTACAGACTCCGCAGGGGCTCTTTTAGCCCGAGCACTATAACAAAAAAGACCCAGGCATAAATCAATATAACAGGATGCGGCATGCAGCCCGATCCCATAACTGTCACTCAAAATCAAGCTCTCGGCCTCACTCAATCATCAAATTCTCCAAAATCACCCATGGGCTCACAATGCCATGAAGACTAACTCGAAACAATGATATGATGTTGCAATGAATAACAACTAAGACTAAGATATGATATAAATGCATGAATATATGACTAAGTACGAAATACCAATGAAAACCAGTGGGGTGACAACAAGAAATGACCACTATAGGTCCCAACAGTATCAGCATAAAGCCTAAACATGATATCTAGCATTATTAGCAACTCAATTACTTTATCACATGGAGAAAACACAGACATCAACAAGATAGGGCTACTATACAGTGCCATGGAAAATAACAGAGTCACAATTCACATGGTGTACGCCCACACGCCCAGCACCTAGCATGTGCGTCACCTCAACACCAATCACATAACACGTAATTCGGGGTTTCACACCCTCAACACTAACATTAGAAGAGCTACTTACCTCGAACAAGACAATTCCAATACCGAGCAAGCCAAGCGGTGGTCCAAAAATGCCATTTCGCGCGTTTCGACCTCTGAACGGCTCAAAACTAAACAAAAACAACTCAAATACATCAAACAATGTTAAAGGAATCAATCCCAAATGAAAAAGGTTGAATCTTTAATCAAAAGCCCAAAATCGGCCAAAACGTCCAACCTAGACCCGCACCTCGAAACCCAAAAAGACTCACAAAATCTGATAACCCATTCAATTATGAGTCCAACCATACTAGTTTCACTCAAATCCGACTCCGAATCGATATTCAAAACTTAAAAATTCATTTT